GTGTGTGTCTGTGTGTGTGTCTGTGTGTCTGTGTGTGTGTCTGTGTGTGTGTGTCTGTGTGTGTATGTCTGTGTCTGTGTGTGTGTCTGTGTGTGTGTCTGTGTGTGTGTCTGTGTGTCTGTGTGTGTGTCTGTGTGTGTGTGTCTGTGTGTCTGTGTGTGTGTATCTGTGTGTGTGTCTGTGTGTGTCTATCTGTGTGTGTCTGTGTGTGTGTCTGTGTGTGTGTGTCTGTCTGTGTGTCTGTGTGTGTGTCTGTGTGTGTCTGTGTGTGTCTGTGTGTGTGTCTGTGTGTGTCTGTGTGTGTCTGTGTGTGTGTCTGTGTGTCTATCTGTGTGTCTGTGTGTCTGTGTGTGTGTATCTGTGTGTGTGTGTCTGTGTGTGTCTGTGTGTCTGTGTGTGTCTGTGTGTGTCTGTGTGTCTGTGTGTGTCTGTGTGTGTCTGTGTGTGTGTCTGTGTGTGTCTGTGTGTGTGTCTGTGTGGCTATCTGTGTGTCTGTGTGTCTGTGTATCTGTGTGTGTGTCTGCGTGTGTCTGTGTGTGTCTGTGTGTGTGTCTGTGTGTGTCTGTGTGTGTGTCTGTGTGTCTATCTGTGTGTCTGTGTGTCTGTGTGTGTGTATCTGTGTGTGTGTGTCTGTGTGTGTCTGTGTGTGTCTGTGTGTGTGTCTGTGTGTGTCTGTGTGTCTGTGTGTGTCTGTGTGTGTGTCTGTGTGTGTCTGTGTGTGTGTCTGTGTGTCTATCTGTGTGTCTGTGTGTCTGTGTATCTGTGTGTGTGTGTCTGCGTGTGTCTGTGTGTGTCTGTGTGTGTGTCTGTGTGTGTCTGTGTGTCTATCTGTGTGTCTGTGTGTCTGTGTGTGTATCTGTGTGTGTGTGTCTGTGTGTGTGTCTGTGTGTCTGTGTGTGTCTGTGTGTGTGTGTCTGTGTGTGTGTCTGTGTGTGTGTCTGTGTGTGTGTGTCTGTGTGAGTGTGTGTGTCTGTGTGTGTGTGTGTCTGTGTGTGTCTGTGTGTGTGTGTCTGTGTGTGTGTCTGTGTGTGTGTGTCTGTGTGTGTGTGTCTGTGTGAGTGTGTGTGTCTGTGTGTGTGTGTGTCTGTGTGTGTCTATCTGTGTGTGTGTGTCTGTGTGTGTCTGTGTGTGTCTGTGTGTGTGTGTCTGTGTGTCTGTGTGTGTCTGTGTGTGTGTGTCTATCTGTGTGTGTGTGTGTCTATCTGTGTGTATCTGTGTGTCTGTGTGTGTGTGTCTGTGTCTGTGTGTGTCTGTGTGTGTGTCTGTGTGTATCTGTGTGTCTGTGTGGGTGTCTCACACAGAGAGTGGCGCTCAGCAGAGCGGTCACTTTGAGCTGCATCATCGGCACCGCGTCCAGGCGAGAGGCCAACTCCACGCACTCCTCAATAGCGCGAACATTGCCCTCGTACCACTCCTCTCTGTGTGTACACACAGAGTACACGCACAGTACACACACAGAGTACACACACAGAGTACACACAGTACACACACAGAGTACACGCAGAGTACACTCACAGTGTACACACACAGAGTACACTCACAGTACACACACAGAGTACACTCACAGTACACTCACAGTACACACACAGTACACTCACAGTACACACACAGTGTATACACACACAGTGTACACTCACAGTACACTCACAGTACACTCACACAGAGTACACACAGAGTACACTCACACAGAGTACACACAGAGTACACTCACAGTACACACACAGTGTACACACACAGAGTACACTCACAGTACACACACAGAGGACACACACACAGAGTACACTCACAGTACACTCACAGTACTCACACAGTGTATACACACAGAGTACACACACACAGAGTACACTCACAGTACACTCACAGTACTCACACAGTGTATACACACAGAGTACACACACACAGAGTACACTCACAGTACACACACAGTGTATACACACAGTACACACACAGTGTATACACACAGAGTACATACACACAGAGTACACACACGCAGAGTACACACACGCAGAGTACACGCACAGTACACACACAGAGTACACACACAGTACACTCACAGTACACACACAGTACACTCACAGTACACACACAGTGTATACACACACAGTGTACACTCAGAGTACACTCACAGTACACTCACACAGAGTACACACACAGAGTACACACACAGAGTACACACAGTGTATACACACAGAGTACTCACACAGATTACACTCACAGTACACACACAGTACACACACAGTACACTCACAGTACACACACAGTGTATACACACAGAGTACACACACACAGAGTACACTCACAGTACACTCACACAGAGTACACACAGAGTAAACACACACACAGTACACTCACAGTACACACACACAGAGTACACACACACAGAGTACACACACAGAGTACACACACAGTACACTCACACAGAGTACACACAGAGTAAACACACACAGAGTACACACACAGAATACACTCACAGTACACTCACAGTGTATACTCACAGTACACTCACAGTACACACACACAGAGTACACACACAGAGTACACACACACAGAGTACACACACAGTGTACACACACAGTACACACACAGAGTACACTCACAGTACACTCACAGTACACACACAGTACACACACACACAGTACACACACAGAGTAAACACACACAGAGTACACTCACAGTACACACACAGTGTATACACACACAGAGTACATACACACAGAGTACACACACACAGTGTATACACACAGTACACACACAGAGTACACACACAGTGTATACATACAGAGTACACACACAGAGTACACACACAGAGTACACACACAGTGTATACTCACACAGTGTATACACACAGAGTACACACACACAGTACACACAGAGTACACGCACAGTACACTCACAGTACACACACAGTGTATACACAAGGAGTACATACACACAGAGTACACTCACAGTACACTCACACAGAGTACTCACACAGAGCACACACACATTGTACACACACAGAGTACACACACAGTACACACACAGAGTACACTCACAGTACACTCACAGTACACACACAGTACACACACACACAGTACACACACAGAGTACACTTACAGTACACACACAGAGTACACACACAGAGTACACACACAGAGTACACTCACAGTACACACACACAGTGTACACACATAGAGTACACTCACAGTACACACACACACACAGTACACACACAGTGTATACACACAGAGTACACACACAGAGTACACACACAGTGTATACACACAGAGTACACACACAGAGTACACACACACAGAGTACACACACAGAGTACACACACAGTACACTCACACAGAGTACACACAGAGTAAACACACACAGAGTACACACACAGAATACACTCACAGTACACTCACAGTGTATACTCACAGTACACACACAGAGTACACGCAGAGTACACTCAGAGTACACACACACAGTGTACACACACAGAGTACACACACAGAGTACACTCACAGTACACTCACAGTACACACACAGAGTACACACACAGAGTACACACACAGAGTACACACAGAGTACACTCACACAGAGTACACACAGAGTAAACAAACACAGAGTACACACACAGAGTACACACACAGTACACTCACAGTGTATACTCACAGTACACACACAGAGTACACGCAGAGTACACTCAGAGTACACACACACAGTGTACACACACAGAGTACACACACAGAGTACACACACACAGAGTACACACACAGAGTACACACAGAGTACACTCAGAGTACACACACACAGTGTACACACACAGAGTACACACACAGAGTACACTCACAGTACACTCACAGTACACACACAGAGTACACACACAGAGTACACACACAGAGTACACACAGAGTACACTCACACAGAGTACACACAGAGTAAACACACACAGAGTACACACACAGAATACACTCACAGTACACTCACAGTGTATACTCACAGTACACACACAGAGTACACGCAGAGTACACTCAGAGTACACACACACAGTGTACATACACAGAGTACACACACAGAGTACACACACACAGAGTACACACACAGAGTACACACAGAGTAAACACACACAGAGTACACACACACAGTGTATACACACAGAGTACACACAGAGTACACACAGAGTGTATACACACAGAGTACACACACACAGAGTACACACACACAGAGTGTATACACACAGAGTACACACACAGTGTATATACACAGAGTACACACACACAGAGTGTATACACACAGAGTGTACACACAGAGTACACACACACATAGTACACACACAGAGTACACACACAGTCTACACACACATAGTGTACACACATAGTTAACGCAGAGAACACACACACAAAGTGTACACACACAGAATACACACAGAGTACACACACAGACAGAGTCTACACACACACACACGTGTACACACACACACACACGTACACACACACACGTACACACACACACGTACACACACACACGTACACACACACACGTACACACACACACTTACACACACACACGTGTACACACACGGGGAGACACACACGTGCACACACACGCATGATGTACACACACACGTACACACACACACCTACACACACACGCACACGTACACATACACACACACGTACACACACACATACACGTACACACACACGTACACACACGTACACACACGTAGACACACACGTACACACACACACGTACACACACACACACACGTACACACACACACGTACACAGACACGTACACACACACACGTACACACACACACGTACACACACACGTACACACACACACGTACACACACAAACACGTACACACACACGTACACACACACACGTACACACACACACACGTACACACACACGTACACACACACGTACACACACACACACCTACACACACGTACACACACACACGTACACACACACACACGTACACACACACACGTACACACACACACGTACACACACGTACACACACACACACGTACACACACACACCTACACACACACGCACACGTACACACACACACACACGTACACACACGTACACACACACACACGTACACGCACACGTACACACACACAGACACGTACACACACACACACGTACACACACGTACACACACACACACGTACACACACACACACGTACACACACACACGCACACACACACACGTACACACACACACGTACACAACAACAACAACAACAACCGCCATTCGCCACTAAGTGGCGGTGACGTCACCACGACGCTTGTGCCAGGCTATGTGCACCCTGAGGCCACGTGAAGTGTCGAACGCCCGCTGGCAGGAGGTCACGGGGCAGACCCAGGTGCCACTGGTCGACTGACTGAGATGACTGACTGATGCACCACCTGTGCCCCCTACTGTGCCAACCTGCTGTGCTTTAGCCACCCGGCGCTCCGCTCGCTGTTGTGAGCGTCGCTCCTCCGCCCTCCGTTGTTGTTGGAGGGCGACTGCCTCCAACTGCCCAGTAGCATCCTTCACGAGCCTCCTCCACAGAGGCCGATCTTGACACCGCTGGTACCAGTCATCGGCAAGTCCACTCAGCTCCACGTCCTCCTGTACCACATCACTCCATCTCTTCTCTAGCCCGTGCCGCGCCCGCTTAGCCCCCTCAATCCGGCCAAACAAAAGCTGTTTCGGCATGCGGTGGCTGGGCATGCGGGCTACATGACCCAGCCATCGCAGCCTTGCCTGCCGGAGGAGCTCACCGATGGGACCCTGCCCAGATCTTTCAAGGATTTGTGAGCTCCTCACACAATCCAGTCTGGTTAAACCCAGGATGGATCGTAGGCAGGCCAGCCTAAATGTTTCTAACCGGCGAAGATGTTCCATTAGGGGGGTCCACGTTTCGCAAGCGTAGAAAAGGGAGGGAATGACCGTGGCCGAGAAGACCTGAAGCTTAGTGCGGAGCGACAGACCAGGTAGCTTCCACACAGCGTTACGCAACCGATGAAAAGATATTGCCGCTCGACTGATTCGGAGTGAGACCTCTGCTGTTAAACTGGAGCCAGTCATAAGCACACTGCCCAGGTATGGGAAACTCTCCACTCTCTCCACAACTGCCCCATCACCGATTGGGAGCTGTGGGGGTGGAGTGTCCGATGGTACAAAATACCCAGGCAGGTGCTTAGTTTTGGTGGGGCTGATGGTAAGGCCCCACCTCTTAGTGGCACGCTCCAGTCTCAGCAGCAGCGTCTCCAACTCCTCCTCTGACTGAGCAGCTATTACCAAATCATCAGCATACATAACGTGGTTGAGCAATAGGGAGCCATCCCTTGACTGCACCCGGGCATCGATTAACCTCCCATTATATCTGTACCATATGGAGATTCCCCCGGTACAGCTATTGAAGGCTTCACGA